GTTCCTGCCGGCTGCAGGAGCCGCGAGCCCGGGCGTACTCACCATCTTGCCCCCAGTGGCCCTCATGTGCTGCTGCTCTGCCAGCCAGTGCTTATCTTGCGGGTCGGCTGCGTACTGCAATAAAGCAGCAAGGACCTAGCTGAACACAGGCAACAGACCTTCCGCTCTGACCACCCTCCTGCCGGGACGCTGCGCCCCGCTCCAGCGCTCCCTCAAGCGCATTGCCCCCCGCGGTGCTGCCCAGCGGGGGCTGCCGGGGGGAGGGCTCAGCTCTGCCTGCTGTTTCTCCAACCTCAAGCCCTGGCTCCAGGCAAACCCACCGCCTCGGAGGCTGCGCTAAGCCGTTAACTTATGTTCCGGTGTGCTAGCCAGACCGTGTGTACGTGCTCCAAGATAACAAACAAGGGCGTGGGGGAGGAAGAAAACAAGCGAGCCAAAGCACACGCTCCCGATTCCCATCGGAAACCGTTTCTGAGCAAACCCCGAAGGAGGAAGCGTCCTGCTGCGGCATCTGACCTTAAAGAGGTGGGGATGCTTGATGTAGAGTCGCCCTCTTGTTCCTCCCATCCCGAGAGCTCTGAAAGAGGAACACGAGGGGGTGTTACACCTGTGCGGAGGGCGGCCGTGGCGATACGGGGACACCTCCTCTCCTCCCCAGGCCCTTCCTACTGCTTTTGAGGCAGAGAAGCGAAGTGACGGGAGGAGTCTTACGGGCTCCTGCCTTGGAGACACCACCCTCCATCGACAGGGCCATTCCTTACTTGTTTGCTCGAGATCCCAGCACAAAGGTTGTGGTTTCAGTCAGTCGGGATGGATCCCACTACAGAGTAATTGGAAAAGGGGCAACATTAGAAATGAAGCTGGTGCCGGCCCATGCTCCACGAGCCTCGGCTCTCTGACAGGGAACCTCGGAACCGCCCCCGGCCTGGGAGGGAGGGAGCGAGCTGGCCACAGACCTCTGGACTTCCACAGAGGAGGGACGTTACATTCCCTCTGGGCTGATCTAAGCAGTTTCCCTCGTGGGAAACGCTTGTGGGATCCTCCTGGCTACTACTGCTCACCCCGGGTCTCCTAACAGCGGCACCACACCGCAGAGCTACAGGCTACAGTGCCTGGGGGAGACAAGCAAAGGCCTCCAGGCACTTCGCTCCTCTTCTTGCTTCTCTCCTGCACTGCAGGGGCCCGTCGGGGCAGAGCACAGCTCAGCGCTGTCCTCTGCTCCCGCAGCAGTAGGGCTCTGCTGGCAGAAGCAAAGGGGAGGAGAGGGTGAGCCCAGCAGTGTCGGCCAGCCAATACCTTTGGTCCATCCCTTCTCACGGGCTCAGAGACTTTGAGCTTCCACCTGAGGGGAAGGAAAATGCAGTAAGAACGAGTCCCTGCAGGACCAGCGCAGTCACCACCATGGCACCAGCAGCAGGGACTGAGCCCCAGCCCTTCCAGATCCGCCTTCCTTCACACCCTCCATTCCCCTGCAGTGCCCAACTCCGGACCCTCACCTCTGCTGCACGTTCTCCTCTCCCCAGCTGCCAAGATCCCACCACCACCCGTGCCTCGCACTGCTCACTCTGCGTGGTCCCATCTGGACCTTTTCACCCCTTCGGGCCTGTTTTAAAACCGCTTCCTTGAAGGTCTTTGCCTCCTGGGGGGAACAGCTCAACCTAAAACCCTCCTGCCCTCCCTCTGGCACTCCCCCTGCACCTTTCCTTTGTGCAGGAGGGGAAGGAGACCACAGGGTTTCTGTACTCCCCCATTCGGGCAGTCTCATTTCCCCCCCGCTCTCCCAAAACAAGGGCTCTAGCTCAGGACCCATACTCACGCAGCCATGCCTGAGACCCCGCGATCGTTCGACAGGCTCTGCCCTGGAGGCCGCCCCTTTCTCTGCGTGGAAGAAATCCTTCAGTGACACAGCTGTGCAGGCTGAGAGAACCCCCTCGTTACCCACCCGCTCCCAGGGAAGCTGCTCTTTTTGTCACGAGCAAGAAATGCTAGCTGGCACAAGAGCGAACACCTCTGAGGCACCCCAAAAGCCGTCTGTGCACTTGCGCACGCTCTTACTGTGGGAATGGCCAGGAACGAGGAGCAGGCTTCCCGAAACATAAAATCCCTTGTGCGGAAAACCCTCCTACCTTTTTGGGAACGGGGCTCCCTCGACGATTCAGCTCCTCATCCATCTGTCGGGCACGCTGGAAGAGGAACGGCAGTGGGATGAGCAGGGCCCTTCTCCCCGCCTGGTCATGCAGGGCCCCACGCAGCCAGCCGGCCGCTCTCTCCTTTGCCACGCTCGAGGCAGAGAGCACAAGCGTGCAGGGAAACGCCGACCCCACCCCGTCTCGGTGAGAAGCGCCGAACTGCACTAAGCAGCGACTGTGCCTGGGCTTTTCGTTGCCCTGCAGGTACCGCTCCCTCCTAACCTCACATCCCCCAGCTCTGCCTCCTGGCTGGTGCACCGATGGACAAGAGGCAGAGAACAAAGCAATTCCAACCCCTCTCCTCCTTCTCCCAGCTCTTACAAGCCATTTAAGCCTCTGGGAACAATAACAACTTTTACCTTTGGTACTGCCTGCTCGTGGGGCAACCTGGGAACAACCTTTTTGCCGTCAGAGAACAGCAGTTTGGCCTGCAAGAAGAGAAAGAAGGGTTACCCGATTCCGGGTCCAGAGAGGGACCTGCCAGCAACCCCCACTTTCGTGTATCTGCCCGAAAGCCCTGCAACAGCTCTGCTTTCGGAGTGCCGCCATGCAGTGCTTTTACAGACGGCGAGATGCGAAAGCACAGTCTGAGCGTGACAAAGCCTTGGCAACTGCAGCAAGACATGAAAGACAAAAATCCCGCGCTCCCCCCCCCCCCTCACTCGGGTGCCAGGGGGCCGGTCTCTGTGGAAGCTCCAGACACGTGCCAACAGAGCGGAGAGCGGAGCAGCACGAGCCGCCCGGCCCTGACTGCTCTCCTCCTCCTAGCGAGAACGAAGCAAAGCACAGCGACCGCTCAAGGGCTGCGGATGTTCCCCCCGGCTAATGGCAAAGCCATTAAGAGGGATGTGTCCTAGCCAGGCTGCTCTGCTCGGCCAGGCGCCAGGCTCTGCCGAGGAAGCGGAGCCCCTCGCTAGTGCCCACCTGCTCCAGGCAGCTCCGACACGTCTCCTGGATGAGCTGCTCCGGGTCCACCTCCTCCCCGACATTATCGCGCACGTTGATTGCTGCCTTCTGGAAAAACTGGAGAGGAGGCGGCAGGAGAGGGTTAGAGCCTGAGCAGCCAGGCAGTGTCGGGGCAGGCACGCGGGCCCAGCTCCCACGCTGCGCCCACACACCCGCGGCCACAAGAAAGGTGCGACGGCCTCACGTGGCGCCTGGAAGCGGAGCGCTCTCTACGCAGCCCGCGACGGGACAGGGCGGCGGGGCCTGTCCCTGCAGCTCTCACCTTCATGTACTTGTTGAAGACGCCCCGGATTTCCTCGTTGATGCTGGGCTGCAGGACAGCTCGCAGCAGGTCCATGGACACGGCCGGGTCCGTGAAGCTGACGGTGGAGGAGTCAGGTGGGGGGCGCGGGACCCCCCTTGCTCCAGTCTGGTCTAGCCCAGATCCCCCCCTCCGGTCTGGTGCCCAGTCCAGCCAGCCCGGTCCAGCCCCCTCCCTCTGTTCAACCTTCCCCCTCGGGTCCCTCTGGCCCGGGCTCC